TGATAAAACAGCTCCCGGAAATTATACACACCACCTTTGAATGATGACATAAAGAAACAGCTTTTGTTCTCTTCAAATTTTCAACCATAACAAACTGGATTTTTATGGAGGAAAACATCCATTACCCAGAAAGAGAAGAAAATGCCAGGCCACAAGCCTCTGAGAGACAGGCTGGCCTTATTGCTATGTGCCAATGCGAGTGGTAACCTCAAGATAAAGCTTCTCTTGGTTTATCACTCCAAGACTCCTAAAGTGTCCAGAAAACATAAAGTCATGAAGAATAGGCTAGGAATCATGTGGAGATTACAGAAAAATCCTAAGTAACAAGAGTATTTTTTTGAGTGAATCAGGGAAACTTTTGTCCTACTGTTAAGAAATATCTAGAGGACAAAGGTTTGCTACTCAAGGCTTGCCTCATTATGGATAATGCTCTGGCTCACCCATAAGATTTGGAAGAAGAACTAGCTGAAGAATTCCCATAGCTCTCAGTTCAGTTCCTCCCATCTACTACAACTTCTCTACTGCAGCCTATGGACCAGTAAGTTACAGCTAACTTTAAGAAGCTATACACTATAAGCTATATCCCAGACCCTGAAATGGAAACAACATTACAACATCCTTTCCTGTATGCAATTAATTGAGAAATCCTGGGCCAATGACTCTAAGGACAATGAGATCTGCCTGGAAAAACTACACTTATATAGAAGAAAGACATGAAAGTTGTATAGAGGAGTCTGAACATTCAACTGACCCTATGGCTGATGACCTTATCACTATGGTAGAATTCATAGGCTTACAGGTAGTTAGTAGTGATACTGAGGAACTGGTATAGAAATTAATTCTCAGAGTTATTATCTGAAGAGGAACTTCAGCAACTCCTAGTTGAAGAGTAATGGGGAAAGGCAGTTGAGCAGCTTTCCAAAGAAGAGGAGGAGCACCAACAATCAATTCAGCTACATTCTTCTTCTGAAACAAAGAAAATCCTGAAAGAATGGACAGAGTTGCAACACTAGCGGAGAAGACCAGACAGAGAAAAAGACAATCACTGTGTGCACTTAATGACGATGTCATGTAATATTACAGAACACTGTTAAAGATGGGAACAGACAACCTTAGTTCAGTTTTTAGTTCTGAAAAGATTGAGACCTAGTGAGCCATAAGAAGGTCCTAGTGGGCTACAGACTCTCCTGAGGAGAGAAAAGACACCAGAGAGAGAGAGAGAGCCAGGTTCCTGATGTTCTTATGGAAGAGGATGCTCCTTCCAAACATTAACCACCTTCCATTTCCTCCTCTCTTTCTGCAATGGCGAGTATAGTACAAAATTGTTGTTTCTGGTAAACTAGTCACATTTTATAACTTTTTGGTAAATACAATAGGAAAATAGTTGTGTTTCTGGGAAATTACTCACATTATACAACCTTTTTTTTTTAATCATGAAAGGTTAGTTAAGGGGTGCTTTGGAAGGTTCAGAATGCATTATGGGTCTTTCCATTATTCTTTATGGGAAAAATAGTCCTGAGTTACAGTCGGTGTTTGTGAATGAATTGAGTTTGTAAGTCAAGGTCCCACTGTACCCTGCTTCCTGTGAATACAGAAGATTCCCTCTGTAGTCCTTCACTGTGTATAAGAACTTAAAAACAGACAGGCATTCCAAGCATGACCCTTCTATTACACATTGCTATCTTCAGTGCAATTGATTGCCTGTCATTCTGGTCTTCTAAATACATACTTCTTGTCATGACATACCAGTTATTACCATACTGTCTCACAAGTAAAAGGTTTTTGTTTTTGTTTTTCTTTTTTTAAATGGGTAATAAATAAAAAAAAAAAGACACAAGAAAAAGAAAAAAAATGTCACAGGACTGTCCTGCTACAATGCTATATATGGTTAGATTTCTTTCTGTGTAAAAATATGTGTTTATTCCTATTTTCTTAATTTTTTTTCTTCACATTCTGTAAGGACTTAAATTTCAACACATCAATACTTGATAGAAGATACCTATTCCACGTTATGCCTAAGATGTTCGATATTTAGACAGATAGTTAGGGTAAACCGAACTGCATACGTTGCAGGGTAGTATTAAGCTTTTCTTCTGGAGGGTTAACAACCTAGGTTTGCAGATCAAAACTTGGAGAAAAATAAGGGCTGCAAGGTCAGCCAACATTTAGGCCTAGCCTTTCATGGTCAGTGAAGACTGAGGACACAAGAGAACCCGTACTGTAACATCATGTAACTCAGTTGTGCCCCAAATTTTCTGATCAAGGAGATTATGGAGCCATAGAGGAATGTGATTGATGATGTATAGTGTGCCTAAGGAGAGTCACATGGAGAGAAAACTTTCTCTCAGGCTTTCACAGAGAGCAAATTGGTCAAGCATTGGCCGTGACTCACCCACATGGCTGATACTGACAAAGGATCTACAAAATGCAGTGCAGAGTTACAGGATAAATCCTATGGGAACTTGACTGACCATATCAGATACAAAAGTTACATTTCTTGGGGCTGGAGAGATGGCTCAGTGGTCTAAAGCACCTACTTGGAACAAGCTTGGCAAAGCACAGGGACCACGGTTCAATCCCCCAGCACCACATGCCAGCCAGCCGCGCCCCCTGGTGGGCTGAGCTGGCAACACACACACACACACACACACACACACACACACACACACACTAAATAAATGTTAAAATAAATAATAAAAAAAATAAAAAAAAAGTTACATTTCTTGTTATATGGGTCTTGCTTTATCTTGGTCTTAACCATCAGGTAGAAAAGTATAAAAATGAGGTATATAAAGTAAAGCCATATTTATATGCTGAGCTGTAAAAGGCTCTAGTCAACAATTTCTGCAGACAATTCCCTACTATTGTGGACTGTTGGACTGTGTTGGATAGTTATGCTGAATTCAAGCACCTACAATATTTAGATGCCAATAGAATACCCATCTCTGATAGGACTGAACTGGAGAGGGGGGATCCAGAGGAAGGACCGTTTTGTATTTGTATATACAGAATAGTTAGGATAAATGTACGGCTGCTTTTGCTTTGTTCAGTGAGAGGAAGGATTTGAGTAGTAGTGTTTGGACAGGATGTCCTGGCTGCTTCTTGTGCTGTGGATGACTGCTGAGAAGATAACAATGTGCAATGTGTTAATTATTCAAAATGTCCTATTAATCAGCTTGGAAAGTGTCTCATTGATATTTGTTACTCAATGAAATAGAAAACCTTAAAAATCAAATAACCTATGCTGCTTATAATTATCAAATCTTCAAAATATATATGGACCAGATAGTAATATTTTGTATTTATTTATCATATGAAAACAAATGACTAGACTTTCATGAATTTGGAATATAAATGTGGATTAAACTACTTCCAGTATCAGCTGTGAAAGCAAGATCGGGCAGCTTTGATGGCGGCATCCCTAAGAGAACACCAGATCTCAGAGCAAAGAGACTCGGTGACAAAAGGCTGGTATCCGTGCTGCTGGAGAAAGACAGGCCTTACCTACCCTATATGCAGAAAAGCACAGGAGAGATTTCACAAGTGAAAGCAGACTGAAAATCACCGGGGCTAACACTGCAAACTGTAGGCATTGATTTGTAATTAAGCTCTTTTGAAATTCCTTTGCATGTGGGCAGCTCTGTACTCCAGGGAGCGAGGCAATCATAATTTTTCTAAAATGATGCTTAATGGTTTTTCTTGGGGACCAGCTAGTAACATAACACATGTGCAAATGCTCCATGAACTGCAAAGCACTATAAAAAGTGCTTCTGCCTCTTCATTGTATTTTGAACTCATTCCGTGTGCTCACCACGTGATTGTTATTACACTGGTCAGCAGCTGAAAGGTCTGGATATTTCATATGGTTCATAAATAAGTAAAACCCTCACACCTAAAGCTTAATCTTGCAAAGGATTTCTTTACCCAAGTCTAAGTATATTATAAAATGATGCTGCATTAAAACTGCACGAACTTATGGTTCACATATAAAGTAGGCAAAGTCTTAAGGCAGGAAAATGCCCAAAGAGAACAGGCATAAATAGCAGCAGCAGAGCTTTCGCTCTTCCTAATGAGTCTCTGGCTTGCCTGTGGGCTCAAAGCTGGTTTCCTAACAGGAGAGGGAATTGGGCCGGCTCGCACCTTGAAAGGAGGTTTTATCCAGAAATGGGGGGAGAGAACCAGAGGCTCCTGAAGGCATCGCTTCTTCATGGGCTGATTTTTGAAGCAACAGTAATGTGCTAACTAATAAAAAGACACTAAGAAAGCCTTCCAAGAAACGACACAGCTATTAAACTCTAAAAGGAGACACAAACACAAATTAATAGGAGGATGCCTTGTGCCCAGGCAAAAAGCCAGCCCGTGTGTCTCAGTGTTGTGTGCTGTCCTTTTGTGCCGTGCCCCGTGATAGTCAGGACAGGTGTTCTGGGATCAGCCTTGTGGGGCTTGAATCTTGGCTCTACTGCTTGCTACACATGTGAGTACCTTCAGGTATTTATTAAATCTGTATCACCCTTCCTTCAGCTCCTCTGACATCCTTCTGAGGAAAGACAATCAGTAAGTATAAAGTTGCTCCCGCAGGGCCCTGTACACACAGCACCCTACTCCTTGCTTCTTTCTGGTCCTGAGACTGAGGCCCAAGTTCTAGAAGCACCTGTGAGAAGGGGAACAATGAAAACTGCCTCTTGTAGTCTCCTTGGGTTTCCAAGTTTGAGGGTTATGTTTTGTTTAATTCTTTAAAAATGAAGCAAGTGGGGCTACCTCCTGCCAAAGAGCAGTAGAATCCTGTCCTCAAAGACTGTGGTTTCCACAAGAAAGTAAGAGGAAACAGATGTTCCTGAAACATAAAAGTCCATGCCTTGGGCATGGCTTACATAAAAGGTCACCGAGACCTGTCAGAGCCATCCGATTGTTGCATATAGCTGAAACCCACCTGAGCACTGAGGGCACCTGGGTGGCATATCTCTGACTCCCCCACCCCTCCAGCCCCCACAGGTGCCAACCTTCTATGAAGTCCGAGGCCGTGTAGGGACGCTGGTTTGGGCTGCCCTCTGAGGGGTTGTTCAAGCTCTCCAAAGCCAACTCGATGGCTTCCACCAACTCGTCACGCTTGTCTTTTCTCACCGGCTTCTCCTCAGGGTGACGCGTCAGGCCGGTCTCCAGATGGTACACTTTCTGCAGGGTGAAGCTGTCGAAGGGCACCGCGGCGTACTCGGTGGCCAGCTTGACCCCTGTGTGCACCTCCGCCTTGTCCACCTGGGCGCGCAGGAAAGCCAGCAGATCGGCCTGCGCCTGGGCCTTGGGCGCGGGGCCCCGGCCTGCCACCTCACTGGCCTGGTCCTGAGCGCCCCGCAGCTGCTCGCTACGCCCCTGCAGCTCCTCCTTGAGCTGCGCAATCTGCCGCTTGAGACTGCTGACATAGTTGCGGTGCTGCTCCTCACGCTCCTGGAGCGCGGCCTGGTAGCCCTCTTTCCCGGTGGGGCCATTGGCCCTGGGCAGTCCCAGCTGCTCCTCGTCGCCTTTGGGGGTGCAGGCCAGCATGTAGAGGACGGAGACGGCACAGCAGAGCAGCACAAGCAGGACCACCACCCGGGAAATCCACCCCAGCAGCCCGCGGCGGACCATCGTCACTCAGGGCAAGGCCATCATCGTCACTCAGGGCAAGGGCATCCGGCACGCCGCATCCCAGAGCCCAGGCCCCGAGGAAGGGCTTCCTGGACTAGACTGCAGGAAGCGTGCGTCGCGGGCCCCCTGCGCTGTGCTTGTCCATTTGCCCCTTGGAGCCCACCACAGTGGGAGACAGTGTTCCTACAGGAGGATCTTCCAGGTAGAAGCAGAGGGTTAGACAGAACCTCCAAGTTCTCCCATGCATTCCCATCATAGCCTTCCCAGCGAGCCGCAGACAAAGGGTGACCTGGGAAGACACAAAGGATCGGAACACTTAAGATAACACCTTCTTTTACTAGGGCAAGACACAGATTCTTGACATCTCTGCAGCTACAGAAAGTGCTTGGGTAAGATGACTAAACATTGGTAAATGTAAATCAGAACACAAACATACATCTGCTGCACCAGGCCTGTTCAGAACAGAGGGCACAGAAGATGCGAGGGAAACAGTGCCAAGTGTGAACAGTAATCCACCCTGGTGGAAGGAAGGATTGTGATTTTCTGTTTCCCCTTGTTTTTGTTTTTTTAATCTTGTAAATTCTCTACAGTGGCATATATATTTTTTAATCTATTTAGTACAGGGTTTACAGGGTCTCACTATGTAGATCAGATTTGTAGTGATCTTCCTATTTTCAGTGGCATACATTTTAATGATTTATTTTATTTTATTTTTGCTCAAAACTTTTATTCTAGGATGTTTCTATGACCCTTGGAAACTTCAGGGTTTCATTTTATGGTCTCAAGAAGGTCATTTTCCTTCATGTAAGTATTTAGTCAGAACTAGTAGGTAGGATTGACGTTCTTCAGTTGTCCTTGTCACACACAGTGAGAACATGGTATGTGGATATTCTAATTGGTGGCTGAGGCAGGACCAAGGGAAATGTGGAGGGATGAGCAGCCCTGTTCAGTGTGTGCACTGGTGAAATCCTAGCACATCCCTTCCCCTGTGAAATGCAGTATGCCAGCCCCAAATGGGCTCACATCATGTGCTCCCCACTCAGGCCAGCCTCATCTGTAGAAACCAGGGCCAAGTTCTATTGATGTCCACAAGATAATAAACAGGATTACAGGCAAATCATGAACAGAACTTGGGACAGAGAGAAAGGGACTCCAGCTGGAGAGGGCCTGGGCTTCCCAAGGCTGCCACCCCAAGATTATCTCTGGAAGGAGCACCAATTCTGAAGATGAAACAGGGGAATCACCGTTCTCAGTCAGGGTCAGAATCCGGGTCTGAGGAGATCTGCCCCTCCATGCTCTCACGCATGGCATTTTAATGATTTAAAATGGAAAAGTAACTCTGAAGGAGAGCACGAGTTCAGACCATGGCTGAGTGACGTTAACAAAATCCTCTCTCAACATAAAAGATTTTAAGATGTAGCTTAGTGTGAAGATCATGCTACCAAGCATTAATCTCTGCTACCAAGGGGCACAGGTGTGGGGCACAGCTGCAATGCCATTGAAATCGCAGGCAGGGCGCTGTCATCCAGGCAGGGGGTCGGGTGCAGCCAGGCCCCTGTGCTGACAGCAATCAGAGCCGACTCCAGCCTCCTGACGCCCACATGGGGGAGCACCCTGAGATCCAAAGCTGTCAGCAGCAAATCCGAAGGATAATGCAATCAGAAAGGACCAGGGACAGCTCTTCCCTGTGGGCAGATGGCAAGGTGAGTTCACGGTGCAAAGGGATGGGGCTGGAGGACGCAGAGAGGGCCTCAAACCCTCGGCTGTCTCTCTGCTAGCTGCTGCGAGGAACTCTGCGTCATGATGGCTCCGTAGTAATTCTCCAGCACGCCACACGCTCTGCACCCAACTCCACGTCCCGGTGACACGAAGAGCCACCAGGACTGAGCCACCAGGACTGGCCAGCTCCATCTCTCTGCAGGGACTTTCCATCCCACCTCTGCCACAGACAATTGCTCCAATATTACTCTTTGTGGTGTATTCTCTGCTTCTAAGCCCTCCTTTTACATCCCCCATTCATCCCAGCCAGAAGTGAATACAAATTAAATAAAACCTTTATCTAATAACAATCCCGTAATTCCCTTCTCAACGCCCCTTTCTGTATCGCTTTTCTTACAAACAAGCTCCTGAGGGACACATGCTGTGTCATTTATTGAAAATTTTACATTTTTAATAAGTCCCATGATGACTGCATTATAGAGACAGCCTTCACCCATCCCAGGTTCTGAGCACATCCTAAGTCTACTTTCTGGGGTTCTGTCCCAGCTCGGAAAAAGGAGCCCAGTCTGCTTAGCACCTCCAGGACCCCTGGAGGAGGGAGAGACAGGTGCCACTGTCATTCTTCCTATGCTGATGACATGGTGATGACCCCAGGTTCTGTGACTTCATCTTCATGTCAACTGCTACAAATTCGGTCCATCTGCAGGAGTGCCACTGTCACCCAGGACAGGCTCTGCTAAGCCACACTATTCTACCACCAAATCAGCAGATTTCTCCACCTTCCTTAAAACTTCAACACCTAAACATTTTCTTTCTAATATTTTATCTAGCATTTCTCTTGGCCTGAGGAGTCTCACTGCTATAATTTAGAACAATACACAGTTATTAGTGCTGAGTTTAAAGTGCATGTTTAGCCCTGGAAGCCTTTTCTGACTGATGAAAATCTTGGGATTTGTGTAATTACTATAATTCTGTGATTAAGACATCTCAGCTCTGGTGTTCAGGCACCTTGCTGCTTTTAATGAAATCTCTCAAATGAACTCATTATATGCAAGTATTAAATTACCAGTGAAGACATGTTATCAAGTTATTCTACCATTTGAAAAGCTTTTGCTTTAAATAGGTTATCATTGAAGATAAAACAAGTAAATAAAAAAGCAAAAATAGACATTCAACAAAATTCATTATGCTGTGGAAACTTAAAGTGTGTAATCTTTCAAACATTTTTATTGGAATAATTGTTATATTTCTGTAAGAGATTAAAATCATGTTGGTTAACAAAAGCCGTGATATTAAAGCTATGGTTAAAGAAATTTAAAGCTGTGGAATATGTGGGGGTTTTTTTCCTAGAAGTGTCTTCTTTCAAACTCTAGTTTCACTTTTGACATTCACTGGTATAAAAATTTAAGGTTACTTGCTATTCCAGCATTTAGAGAAAAGAAGTGAAATCTGAGATATTTAGGAAGATAGACCTTTAAAAAAAATAACAAAAAGCCATAAAGCTGCTATCAACGAAGCAGTGATGATTTTCCTTTTCCTTTTGAACATCTGGAGCAGATAACACACACCAGAAGCAAGCTCTGTGTCCATTAACCGGCGAAATATGCCTCAATCATTCCAGCAATCTAATCCGTAATCAAACGTAGTTACTAGCTCTACTGGAGATGGCAGAGGTTACGTTAAGGCCCACTCGTATCTGCTTGCTGAAATCAGAGAGGCTAATTCTTTCTAGTCTCGCTTGTGTGGAGACCTCCGGTTTCTTATTTGGCATCACAGAATGTTATGCTTGGGAGTGGGTGTCGTTCTACTAGCTCTGCCACCTGCAGAGAAGTCACTTCGATGGGGCATAACCGGACCCTTGGGCAGCTGCGCCCCATGTAATCTAGACTTTCTGTTCAGGCAGAGAGGTTGGGAGAATTAGAGTTAACATTTATAAAGTGTTTACTGACTTTCAGATGGAGAACACCATGTAATTACTAGGCACCACTACGAGTTAGGGATGACAGTAAAAATACAGCTTCATGTGTTCGCACCAGCATTGTGTGACTATTTTAAAACTTAGAAAAGGCACTTAGACTTTTAGACTAGCTCAGTCTCTTAGGGTAGCTGGAGGACAGGGAAGAAGAGGAGTGTAAGAGGAGGTCCCTGTTAACAAGCAAACTGGGAGAAGAGAGATGTGCAAGCCTTTGATTTTTAATTGCACAAAATCCTTGTTCTCATCAATTTTCTTGCCACTTACTTTTGTTTGTTTTTTGGTTTTGTTTTTTGAGACAGTTTCTTACCCTATAGTCCAGGCTGGGTTTGAACTTGCTATGTAGCTCAGGCTGGCCTCAAACTCACAGTGATCCTCCTGACTCAGCCTCTGGACAGCTGCGATTACAGGTATGCACCACCATGCCCAGCTACATATTTCAATGTCTATCCTTACTGACTGCTTTGCCCAGTACTCTCCTATCCCTGGACAAACCCCAAGGATGGTTCTGCGAGGTGGCAGATCTGGAGCACTGGATTTACTGATGACATGGAAGGGGGCATGCAACAAAACAGCTTTACTGCCATTCTTACCAGCTCTAGGGGAGATGTCTCCACGTCCACTGTGAAGCAGTGCTTGCTAATGCTCTTCTAGTCCGAGCTCACTAAAGTAGGCCCACGAGCTCACACTGGAAGAGCATTCTCAGTGTGGACCGTGTTCCAGCATCCTCGTGTCAGGGAAGCCCAGGAGCATCGTGATTGGTATTATAAATAGGGGCTTCCTAAAGGAGTCATAGCCTTTCCTGAGCTCTTAAGGCAGGAATCTGAGGAGCATGCAAGTTTATGCCAAGCAGTGGAATGGGTTTCTCAAGACTCCAAGTGGAAGTAGGATTAAAAACCCTGACACCCCATCCAGGCCAGGAAACATCTTCAAAGTGCCCAGACCTTTGGAAATAGGTCAACAGGAGGTCAGGATCACCGTCCCTTCTATTTAGGATTCTGTCTTTATTCAAACATACAACAAACAGTCATTAAACACTTGCTGCATTCACAAGAAGTTTCGAGAAGAAGGAAAGGGAAATAGAGTATGAATTCCAGCATCAGTCTTATAGATGAACTCAGGTATTCCCAAAGGACTATCATTTGAACCCCAAGCAAAGACAGTAAAATTCATATAAGGTGTTGAAAGATTAATATAAAGTACCTGATAGACACAAAGTGTTAATACTGTGTGCCCACCACTGGGTGGGGGATGGGAGAGGTGGAAGAGGGATTAAGAAGAAAAGCTCAAATAAATAAAAGTTAAAAGTTAAAAACTTTAAGATAAGTGTCACAAATCATACATATTTGTTAATACATGCAACTCACCACAGTTACGGTAGAAGCTGAAATTAACCAGGTCTAAGTCTGGCCTAGGGGCTACAACTCATCCCCTGTGTGGTCAGTGGCCAACAGAATTTCTATTAGCACGACAGAAGTTGCTATTAGGGTGGCTGTAAGCATTTCACCCCACAGAGCTCGGTGGATATTTTGGTCATAAGAGTTGCATACTATGATAGCCAGCCAGGATATTGGTGAGGAGCTCATAAATCATGACAG